TAAAAATTATGTATTTTTTCAAGATGGAGTGAACTAAACCCATCGTCGCTTTGTTTGCCTTTGTCTGTTTAGCAAAAGATATCAGAGTTTTTATCAGTTTTTATTATTATTTTGGATAATAGTTTAGGAGGCAGTTTTGATTAGGAAACAAATCATGTTTGATTTTAAATTTGACCTATATGTTTCCTCAGTCATAAAGTCTTTTAAGGAGAGTTTTGTTATTTTATTTTTTGATAAAGTTTGGGTCTTAGGAGTATTATTTGTTTCGTATTTAAGCAGAGTATTGTAAATCTTAGATGCATAACTTTTTCATTAAAAATATCCTCTTTATTATATATTATCCTTGTTGATTCGAAGATATTTCTTTGTGGATTAAAAAAATGACCCTTAGTGGACTCTAAGGTTTATACTTTTGCACTGCGTTAAACCAGCATTTAAATGTTAATTTTTTAAAAGAGGTATACGTTGTAGGTAAGGAGCGTTGATTACCTAGTTATAAAGAGAAAATTACAAGTACAGCGTTACAAGCATATCCTTTCATAAACTCCCTTCGTTGGCTTCGTCCCTGAGATCTTTACAAAAATGGACCGTATAATACAACGAGTATTATACGGGAACATATACACTTCGGAAAGTTAAAAATAGCAAATAGCTAAAGTAGTTTTTTTTTCTCTCAAAACATTTTTGTTATTTGGGCGTGTTTGCTTGCACCAGAAAACAATAAATTTACAATATAGAAAACCTCTTTCTAGACAACACGAAATTTACATTATAGAAAACCCTTTTTTATAAATTCTCTTTTTTGTGTTAATTGCAAAACTTTATGAACTTATGAGGAGTTACAGTAAAATCCTCATCAACTTTTTTTTTTGTGTTAATTGCAAAACTTTATGAACTTATGAGGAGTTACAGTAAAATCCTCATCAACTTTTTCTTATCAACCCCCCAAAAAAAAACCCTAAGAAAAATAAAAAAAAGGAAAAGAGCAGTTGTTGCATATAATCTCCATAGAGTATTTTATTTCATTAAAGTTCAACATGACAAATTCTAATTTAATCTTCAAATTAACATAATACATTCTAACATCTCATGTGACAAACATGTGTGAGAAAAAAAGATAAAAATAATTTTTAGTATTAAAAAATTACCTATTTTTCCTTTTTAATAAAATGGTATTTTTTTGAGACTAAGGTGGTGTTTGGTTGCACAATTTTATAGAAAAGTTTTCTCAAAATGTCTGGCAATGACAATTCTGTAATTAAAAATATTCTGTAGATTTTCGTAAACTGTGTTTAGTTCAAAAAAATTTACAAAAATATTTTTTGTAAAGTACAAAAAAGTACCACATTTAAAGAAATCAATTTCCTCTCAAATGGACGAAAATCACCCAGAACACTGACACCACATTGACACTTTTCTATAAAATTGACACTTTTTTATAAATTTAGGCGGTGTTTGGTTAAATTTGTACAAATTATAGAAAATCTTGTTATTTTCTATAAAACTATGGGTCATTTTCTTGTTTTGAACCAAACAAACAAAGTAAAAAAAATGGTACTTTTTGACATCTCAAAACTTTTCCTATAATTTTTTTAAGAAATATAAGGAAATCGTATTTTGGGTGGAAAACATTTCCTATAATTTATAGAAATTGAACCAAACACGTGGAACTATTCATTTTCTTTCTGTCTTGTGCTTATTAGTGATAAGTTAGAGTTGCTGGTGGTAATACGTGGATTGAAAGATAACTTTTCAAATAAAATTTCGTAAAATAAATTAATTCATAGAGATCATGTGCAAATAACTCTTAAAGTACAAGGAGGTTTTCTCTAATTAAAATTTTGATGGGATTTAGGGGTTGTTTGGTTGATGTATTTGGCATTGGGGGTTGGACAGAAAGCCTGTCAAAAGAACACTTTTGGCAGACTTTCTGTCCAAAACGCCTCTTTTTAGAGGCATTTTAGACAGAAAGCCTGCCAAAAGTGCTATTTTAGCAGGCTTTCTGCCCAACCCCCAATGCCAAATACATCAACCAAACAGCCCCTTAGGGGCTGTTTGGTTGTATGTTTTTACCATGTAAAATGATAGAAAGTGTAAAAAAGTGGGTCCCAATGTCAGCTTTCATCACTTTTAATTGTTTGTTTGTGGTTGTGAAAATAGTGTAAAGTGATTTCATATGCTGATGTGGCTTGTAAAGTGATTTCATAAAAAAAAGACATGATTTTAGGAGAAAGCTGACATTGAAGTTAGGAAAAAATAATAAAAAATAATTCCAACCAATATGATCATTTGAGTAGGGACCACTTTTTACACTTTCCAAACAAACAATTAAAGTTACATTTACTAACCAAGCAAGCAATTTATGATTCCAATGGAATCAAAAACAAACAAAGAAAAATATAAGGGGCTGTTTGGTTCGCTATTATAAGGGGTAGAAAACTCAAAAAACCCTTCCACGTCAGATTTTTAGCCCTCCACGTCAGCTTTTTTGTTTCCGTCCATTTCTTTGTGCTGCTTTGGTTCGCTCGAATGGAAGAGGGAAAACTCTGCTGAAATCGCCGCCAACTAAGATTTTTTTCCCTCTCCGATTTTCTTCCCCAACCAAGTGAAATTGATGAAAACTCTGCCACGTCAGATTTTTTTCCTTCTCTGCTTTGTTTACAAAAGTTTTCTTTTTTTTGCTATGCGAACCAAACACAAGAAAAATAAATACATTGGTTTCCCACCATTTTTTATGTGCGAACCAAAGCAAAACAGTCTATTTCTTGGAAAAGTTTGGAAAACTCAAAACTTGTGTTTCTTTTCATGGAATTGCATTTCTCTATATCAAGGAAACGAACCAAACAGCCCCTAAAAGTAAAATTGATGAGGTGGACAACAACTTTCCAAGTTGTGTCTTAGGGGCTGTTTGGTTCGTTTCCTTGATATATGGAAATGCAAATCCATGTAAAGAAATACAAGTTTTGAGTTTTTCAAACTTTTCCAAGAAATAGATTGTTTTGTTTTGATTCGCACATAAAAAATGGTGAGAAACCAATGTATTTATTTTTCTTGTGTTTGGTTTGCATAGAAAAAAAGGAAAACTTTTGTAAACAAAGCAGAGAAGAAAAAAAAATCTGACGTGGCAGAGTTTTCATCAATTTCACTCGGTTGGGGAAGGAAATCGGAGAGGGAAAAATATCTGAGCTGGCGGCGATTTCAGCAGAGTTTTTCCTCTTCCATCCGAGCGAACCAAAGCGGCACAAAGAAATGGACGGAAAAAAAAAACTGACGTGGAGGACTAAAAATCTGATGTGGAGGGGTTTTCTAAGTTTTCCGCCCCTTGTAATAGCGAACCAAACAGGCCCTAAATACACAACTGTAACTCCTCAAAAGTTCATGGGTTTTTTTTCCGTAATTCGCTCTTCTTCCCTTTTTGGTCCCCACCTAGAAATCAACATGGAGGCATCTTCCCATTCCCATAGATTGAATTCGACCCCCCACACCCAAGATTTCTTTGTCAATCTTCTGGGAAAACGACCAAACATGAAACAGCCCGAGACCCCAAAAAAAATGGGGTTTTGGCTGATAAAAAGTTCATGGGGCTTATGTGCAAAACACCCAAAGTTCGGGGGGGGTTTGCTGAAATTAACCCCCTCTTCAGCCACCACCCTCTCTCTGCTCACATCGAATCGGCTCAGATCTCCAACCCAAAATGGACGGAGAAAACCACATCACGCGCCCTTATAGACGACGCCGCCAACCTCCTCTCCTCTCCTCTGCCGCGCCACCAGCATCCAATACGCCTCGACGGATCACCACGTGAGCTCCCTCTTCGACCATCGCCTCTTCATCGGCTCGCCTGGAACCCCTCCGCCCGCCGCCCTCTGAGCTGCTCCGCTCCCCTCCCCGCGAGTCATGGTACCCTCAGTCTTCTCAGCTTCTCCTACTTCCTCTTTGCCTCGCCTCGTCGCTCTCCTGCTCACCGCAGGCCATTCGATCCTGCGCCCAACCGGCGCGCGCCTGCGCGTACCAGGGTGGCGCTGGGGCGGGGGATCCTGGCTCGGCGGTTGGGCTCCGTGGCTGGCCATGGGGGGAGGGGGATTCCTGATGAGTGGCGTCGTCGATGGTGGTCAGTCAAGTGGAGGCTCGGCTCGGCGGGGCCGCGTCGGAGGCAGGCGTGATCCGCTCGGTGCGCTGATCCCGGCGGCGATGCTATTCTACTATTGGATATTTGTACGCTTTCACGAGGTAATGATTAGTTGATTTCAGATTGTGGGTTCGGATCAAAATTTGATCTTGCCGCTAAAGTTTGTTCCTTTTTTTTTTTTTGTAATCCGTTGATGGAGATGTATTGTAGTGAGTTGAGGTGCGCTGTTGATGAGATGCTAGTTTGGTGCCTTCACCTGCAATCTTAATATTTCCCCTAATTGTAATACTAGAGATTACGGTTTTGTAGCGTCTGAACTGAAATTTTGAATCTCGCTATTGGGAAAAAATTGCTTCTTTTTGTGAGTTTTGGATGCATGGACAAGGAACGCACCAAAAATTAATGGGGAGACTAGCTTTTAAGGATAATCTATACTGCAGTTTAACTAGAAAACATGTAGAAATTTTGAGGAAAGGGATGTTACTTGGAGTAGATTTTTGTCTGAATTTGCTCAATATTCAACAATGCTATCTTGCTTGTTTCTTATCAATATCATTCATCTATTATGTTACTACTTGGGAGTAGATTTTTGTCTAAATTTTCTCAATATTCAACAATGCTACCTTGCTTGTTTCTTATCAATATCATTCATCTATTAGTCTCAGTCCATTCCTCCTTCAGGTTGAATGAATCATTATTCCACTAGATTACTGCCACTCTTTCAATCTCCTCTCAAAAACCTCATTCAGCAGGGCATCAGGAATTTAGAAAATTTCACCATATATTGAGCAGCATTTCTAAAGAACAAGCACAGCATTAAGCATCACCTGATGGAAGAAAATCTAATTACTATTTAACTGGAGTTAAGCTGTTAAGATAACAATTACATCTTCGATTTATAAAATCAAACAAAGAGCTGAGAGACTGTCTTAATTATTCAAGAACATAATACAATAGAAACTGGGATTAAGCAATCAAGCTGTCACAGTCCACACAGAAAGGGGAAAAAAAAAACTAACCAGTCTCTTAATAACAGTCTACTTTCAGTAGAGAACATATACAATTCTGCTAACCCTAAATAAAAAGAAGGATTAAAGAAAACATTCACTTTTTTGTGTACAGCATAGAAACCATCCATCTTCAGCAGCTTCCAGTAGTACCTACTTTATTAAGCAAGAACACAAACAATACATCAGTATAAGAACATGTGGTGAAGGCTCAATGCTCACAAAAAACACAAAGCTCTCACAATAAGCTTTGATTACTGAAATCAGGACAAATCAACTATAATTTATGCATTAAGAAAAAACAAAATAAAATGAATGGCTTATATTGGGTCACTAACTAAAGCTTATCAAAGCTCAAAATGTTGAAGTACCTTCTTCCTCTTTAACCACAGAGCATCTATTCTTTGACCAACCTTCAGTAGTAGAATGATCCTGGTAGAAAATATTGCACGAATTAATTTTTCGGCATATTATGCGTAATTTTATGTAACCCGAGGATTTTCATTTGTCAATTGAGATATTACCTTGCCACCATTCTGCTCCAGCAATTTCAGGGCTTGAGTAATCAGAACCATCCTTTCTATCCTTCTTCTCCTAAACAAATCCAAGGGCATATCCCACATTAGAAACATAATCAAAGGTTAATTGCTCATGGACCCCTTTCCTATTGCTGCAGATAAGCCTGGAAGTTTAAAAAATTCTGCCTCTATCACCCTAGGTGAAAGTTTGTCAAACCTTGCCTGTGGGTGAAATTAGCGAGTCTATTTGAGGGGGGTCTATCTGCAACAATGAGACTGCAGAGTAATAAGTTCAAAACAACGATACGACATGGGGTCTATGTGCAATTAACCCTATCATCAACTTCTTGATACTTTTTCCATAAACGTTCACTAGATTGGATAGGTAGAACTTACTACATAATAAGAAGGACCGGGGTACCGATTGTCTGGATTATACGGGTAATTGTCTCTGCAACCATAATCAACAGACGAGCTCATAAGGCATGGCTCTGAGATTTCACAGTGTTCAGTTGAGTTGCTGCCCTTTTGAGAAGTGTTCTGGCTTTTGTTGGGATTGCCTTGGTATTTTCCATCTGCAAAAGTTCATGTTCAATCGTAAGATTTACCGAAAACCTAAATCATAGAATTCATCCCTACGCATAGTTATTCAACTACTTCAACATTCATTACCCTACAGTTTTCAATCTTAAGAAGCTTTTACATATAGAACCTTCAATTGTGCCAATAAAGACACTTGAGATTGAGTTGTTGGATTATCATTTAATATCATCCCTTAGTTTTTAGCTACAAGTATCTGTAACAAATCTATAGTTAACAAAGCAACAGCATGCGCGGATGCAAGTGAAACAGAGAGCGCAGCAGCAAGAGTCAAAGAGGTTCATGAACCTGTAATCGGAATATGAGCACTGAAACTCTGACCTCCATGTCCCTGTTTCTTAGGAGACTCCTGAAAAATCAAAATTAAAATTTGAGCCCTTTAAATCAACAATTAAAAGATGAAATAAACCCAGTCCAATCAACAAAACAATAAAATATCAAATACCCACAAGGAACAAAGCAATTAAACCACAACCCATCAAACAGACTTACCTTCTTTGAGTTTGGTGACGAGAAGAGGTCCCCAAAAATATCAGCGGGCTTGGAATTTGGCTCCTTCACAGGAAAATATTGATCAACGAAGGCCTTGGCTGCTCTCTTGCCATCATCCATCACCACCAAAATCAAGCAAAGCAACAATTTTTCTTCACTCTCTGCCCCCGAGGAGACGGCTTTATAAAATGAAGAGAGAAATTAAAGGATAAGGGGAGGAAGGAGAAGAACACTGAACACGTGAAGGCAGAGATGGGTTCACAAAATGAGGACAGGGGGCTGCATTTAAAGCCTCCTCCTCTCTTCCCTTTTTTTTCTGCTCTCTCTCTCTCTCTCTCTCTAGACTTCTCTCAATAAAACTTTAATTACAATATAATCTCTCAAGATTTTTTTTAATTATTAATGGTTATTCAACCATATATTTCTCCTAAATTAAAGGCGGTGGTCTTCATTGAGACGTCACCTTCTTCCTCCCTCAACTCCATCTGTATGTATTTCCCCAGTTAGTACGTTTCTTTCTTTCCGTTGTCAAGATTTGCCCTTTAGTCCCTCTAAGTCTTTCATACTTCAAGGCTAGTCCCTCAAATCACTGAAACTGCTCTTAGGTATCCTAGGTTCATATAAGACGTTTGAAATTAGGAGTGACGAATGACAATCCTATTAGAAAAACCCCACAGCAGCAGGGGGGTTGTTTGAACCTTACATTTGGACCGAAGGGAGGCAGTTTGTGTAGATTTGGCGAAGTGTTGGAAGAAGAACAAGTTTTTGGAAGCAGGGATCATTTTGGAAGCTTCACGGTCGACCGTGAGCCTTGCAGCGGTAGACCGCGAACGTGCACAAGACAGGATGGAAGACAGGGTGGTCTCTGGACTTTTGACGGTCGACCGCGGCGACATGTCCGGTCGACCGCGGACCATGTAATCGGTTCATTGGTTTATGTCGTTCTGTCCGGTCGACCGCGGCGTCAAGTGCGGTCGACCACGAGTCGAGTTTGGGTCTGCTTTGGTTTCCTGTTCTGTTTGTGATTTGTGTTTGGTATAAATACAAACACACGTTTTAGGGTTTCTTTGGCTTTGATTAGTGATAGAATTGGGAATATTTGGAGCACAGAAAAAATGTTTTTTCTAAGCTATTGGTTAGGGTTATTGTTTGAGAGATTGGGAGATTTGCTAGTGAGATTAGTTGGTTTGTAATCTCAGTTTGTATCCTCTTTCTCTATTAGTGAAAACCCCATCCCCTTCTTGCCCCGTAAACATAGGTAACTTGCCGAACCACGTAAAATTGGTTGTTTGAGTTTGTGGCGTTATTTTGTATTGTTTGGCTTTTTCTCGGTGTTTGTTTGATTTGGTCTCTCGAAGCACATCAGTTTAGTTTTGACTTCCGCCGCGCACAACAGTTTGATCAACTACTTGCTCCACTATTTGGTTCAGATCATCCCGCACCATGCAGGACGTTTTGATAGGACCGGTGTTCTGAAATTAGTATATCCATTGAAAAATTCATGCAATCTTCTAACCGTTTAAGTTAGTGATTACCTACGGAGGGTAATTTCTAAACCGTCTTAGCCAAACAACAAATTTTCCTCTCCCTCTCTCTCTGGTTGCTCATCTTCTAGTAAAGGGAATATACTTTTACCTATCCATCGCTCTCATAATCAACGCTGGAATTTTTTTTCCCCCTTGGATCTAATATAGGGTCGTACTAAAAGTGGGTATAGATAACATTTCACCTTTATAAAGTTAAAGTCGAAAAGAATATTTCCCCAATTCAAAAGGGTGGCTTACCTTGGGAGCTAATTCTGAACGAGTCGAGTGATGTTGAGGAGGACTCAATAGTAATTTCAACGATTTAGGACAAATCCAAAACATGAATGATTTGAGGAGCTAATAACGAACTAACCCTATTAGAGCATCTCCAACAGTTTCCCTAAAAATTTCTCCAAAATGGGGAATCAAATGTCATATTCTTCAAATTATTTTTGCTCCAACTCCAACAGCTTCCCCATTTTGAAGAATCATGCATTTATTACAATAATAAAAATATTCTACATCTTTGACTAATAAATAATAAATTATTTATTATTTTGAAGAATCCCCATTTTGACCAAATTATTTATTATTATAATGAGGAGATGGGAGTTGTTTTTTGTGGGTTGAGTCTAGAAGAACGTGAAAAAGTGCTTCCCCAAATATTTGCAGAATGCTGCAGATTTGGGGAAGGCTCTCTATTTTTTCTCTCCTATCCCCATTTTGGGGAATGAGATGGGGAATCTGTTGGACCAAAAAAAAGCTTAAAATTCTCCAAATTTTAGAATACCAAGAAGATGAGGAAGCTGTTGAAGATGCTCTTAATCTCTGTTCTCGTTGAGGATAAGAGCCACACACGGGCCAAGGTCGCGGTGGGTCCCGGTGGGACACGCGCGCTGCGTGATAAATATCGGCGCCATAATCCGGTTCTGGTTAATAGCCGGCTGATGCTGGTGATGGGGTCCACCGTGAAACCCAACAAGAAAAAAAAATTGATAAAAAAAAAACTGTAGCCGTTGACACGATTTTTTTTTGACGATGACGTGGATGGAGAGCAGAGATTCAGCCGATTCGCGCACATCGTATCCGAAATCGAACTCATTGAGTGGAGGAAAGAGCTCTGTATCTTATTCTTTCCTAGTTCTTTCCATTTGTGGTACAAAGGAGTTGCTATTTGTAACTTAGGATTAGGTAGGGGTAATAATTAAAGGTAAAATAACTTTTTATTAATGTGATGTTTTAGTGGGATAAATAGAAGTAATTTTGTGAAGCGGAGTATTTTGATAAAATAACGTGGAATAAATGTTTTTGAGGATATAAATACTGTTTATGTAATTTCAACTTACTATTGTTGATTGAAAATTATTTACGAGAATGCTATTTACTATTAAATAACTTTTGGTTAGACTATAAGATATTCATAAATATTATTATAATATATGTCGTAGGTTTTTTATTTTTAAATTATTATTATAATCGAAGTCTAAAAAAAGATTTTACATTTTCCTTCCTTTTTTGTTTCCTGATGTCTCTTTCCCCGTCTCTTTTATTGTTTAATAAATTATGGGTTATTACAATCTTTACTTTTAGAATTAATTATATAATTATAATATTTGGTAAAAAAAAGAAAATATCAGAGATGACTAAGAGGAGACGGGATCTAATCTGGCGGTCTGGTCTAATGATGGTGATGATCATAGTAGGAAAGAAGTAAAGAAAAAAAGAAATATAAAAAATAATAAAATAAATAGGAGTTCTTGGTTTTTTACCATTTATATTCCAAGCTAAAACTTGGAATAATTTAAGAGACTAGAACTTTCATTTTTATATAGAAAAATAAAAAAGTGGGATAATTTTTCATAATTATCCTGGTTCTAGATATGTTAGAGTTCTAATTGACTAACACCGCAAAATTTTATTCTACTTTTAGTTTTAGTTGATTAACACTATAAAATTTTATCTCACAAATTGTTCTAGTTCTAGTTTTGAGTTCTATTTTACTAAGAAATTCATTGGGAAGTGGGGGAGAAGATATTGGGTCTTCTACATAAAAAGAAGTATACGGCAAGGAGTACAAAGTTTATGGAAGAATTCCAGTGTTAATATTGTGTTTTGAGTCATTCACACGAAGCACATTAGGATGGCTTCAACATTTCAACTCCTCCTTACATGGTTCAGAACACTTGTGTGGGTTGGGCCAGTTCAGGCCCGTGGCCCGGCCAACGAGGTTCAAGGTCGGGTCAGGCCTAACTCGGGCTTGGCTAGGTTAGAATTGGTCGGATCTACTTCTCTGATTCTAGGACTGGGACCAGACCCACGGGCCATGGGTTTTCCGTTCAGCTTTTTCCCCTATTTTTTACCTTTTAAATTATATTAAACTTATATTTACAATAATAAAAAATATTTCTAATTTATTTTTAGTAATTTAAATTTGTATTAAACTATGATTAACTTGTATTAAACTTTATAATCCTTTCAAGTTGATAAGAGCGAGCTTAAAGATCGTTGCATTGTTTCTCAATGGGCCAAAAGGGTCATGTGAGCCCATGAGCCTAAGACACATGACCCTTTGGTTTTGTTGGCAGTTAGCCGTAGACTCAAAGGGCTAAAAGAAGAGTTAGCTTAACTAAAAATATATATCATGGGCCGGAGCGAGGCGGGTCTCAATGGGCCAAAAGGGTCATGTGAGCCCATGAGCCTAAGACACATGACCCTTTGGTTTTGTTGGCAGTTAGCCGTAGACTCAAAGGGCTAAAAGAAGAGTTAGCTTAACTAAAAATATATATCATGGGCCGGAGCGAGGCGGGTC